ATACAAACCATACCATATATGCTGTGGGAGAACCAAATACGTGTGTAGGTATGTACGCGTACGTTTGAGTTGTAGCTCTCAAAACGTTCGCCATAAATGCACTGAGAGTCAAATTAGCTCACGGCACGCGTTGATTGATTTTGTAGGGTTTACGGGAGGCCATAATTATTGTCATCTAAACGGAATTTATCAGTCATTTTACCTGAGCCCACCTTCCAGTCACCTTGACATTGCCTCGCCATCGGAGAAGGGTGAAACTGACTGCGATAATGTCATCGAATTATAAGATAGTTCAAGCGCATGTCACCCTCCTGCACAATGGCTGTCATTCGTGACGGTCAAACGGCTGCCATCGCGCAGGTTTGCGTTTCCCATCCCAGATAGTGATGGGGATTACGATTGGCAGAATTAAGGTGGAGAGGCCACGAAACAGTCTTGCACTGTCCTATCTGTATTACTGTCAAAACTCACCACACCAAGCAGAGTCTTGCGAAACCTGCGAAGAAACTGTTTTATCTTTACAGTGTCCGTTGTTTTGTGCCGGCTAAAATCAGTTTAGCCAACACCACTCTATCCTGATTTCAGAGCGAATATTGAAACTTCCCTTAGAACTCCGGGCTCGGGGTCGACTTTCCATAAGAAAATGTGGAAGTTTACTTCCTTGGGACTCACACCTTCCGCTGCGTGTCCGCTAACTACATAGGACTTTGTAAAATAAAATGCGAGTACGTCGGCACAGTACGAGCCAAACTGATGGCATCCTAATCGAGGTATCACGATTCGCTGTTCAAATCATCCGACGAAAATACCACCCACCTCCTTCCACTGACGATGGGTTAACCGGGAATAACATTTTCACCACCGTTAATTAACTGGATTACAGTTCTGCGCAGTGTTCAAATGTAGTTGGAAAATCGACACCCTTTATACTTTCTAGGATGTCTGGGTAGGAATCCACTTTTACACCAAAATTCAGCCAGTGTCTCCATATCAATATTTTCCACTTAAGAAAAAGCCTGAAGTTTATCTGTCAACACTGCAGGGAAGTGAACTCCATAAAACGCTTGTTATTGTCTAGCACGCATTAGTCTAGCTCATACTTGAAAAAAACGTTTTTTTTTTCTTTTTGACGCAGCTGGTTGACACACGCGCCTAATTGCCCTATTTAGTGAATGTTCTTTTTCCTTCCGGTTCCGTCTTGCTGTTGTTTATCAGGGCGCTTCTAAAAGTGTACGACAGACTCCGGATAACGGAAGCACCTGTCTAAAATAAAAACGATGAGACGGTCTTTCCATCATATGTAACCTTGCGCCGTCAAACCGGTGTGTGTTTGCGTGGAGTGGCGGACTGAGAGTCAGACTGCAATTGCTCCCTCTTAATGTGACCTTTATGGTACTCCCACTCTGCTGGAAGCTGAGTCGCTCCCAATTTTGCTGTGGTTTTCATGGTTGTGGTGGCCCACAGTACGCGGGCTTGCGTCATTTCCCGTCTTAAATCTGTCTTCACACCGGGTCCACGTGGGGGGGGGTGGGACAAAGAGGTAGATGCAGCGCAGGTCTTCTCTCG